GGTCTTGCAAGGGTCTTAATTCTTGGCCAGCTGCTTCCTGAGCTCCTTGCCATAGAAGCCTCTCAGTAGAGCAGCAAGCAGTGTGGCAGATGGCAGTTGACTTTATCAAGGTGAGCAAGGGACAGTCTACTAACAAGACAGAAGTCATGGTAATGTATCATAATTTAACCTCAGAAGTGACCACCTCTCCATGTTGAGGTTTTCTATTGCTACAAGCAAATTACTCAGGATGTGGGAACACATAGGCCAGGAACGCAAAGACACGGGGATGGCTGGACCCATCTCCAGCCACACAGAACAAATCTCTCTTCCTCTCTCGCCCCACAGCAAGTGATAATACTCTTCAGAAGTTGCATGTCTCTTTGTCTTGGGCTGTATCCAAATGAGTGCCTTCACCATTCCTTGTCTTTGCTATATATCCTAAAGTGGGAACCTAAACACTGCCCATTCTTCTGGCTGGAATTGACCAGACCAGGGAGGACACAAGTAAACAAGGGCCACACATCTACTCCTGCTGTTTGGGGCTTGATTTCAAAACTAAAAGGTCTAGAAGCCCAAGTTTCTCACTGGGGAAGAGTTTCAGTATCTAACAAACAATCCTATTAATGTTTTGGGGCAAACATTCCAGAGACCCTTGAACACTATACTTTTTGAATAAGAAATTCATGAATCAATAAAGTGAAGATTTTCCCTCCTTTTATACTCCTTTCTCCAACAATTGAGTGAGTCTATAAATCTATTTGTTTTTTCCTTTCTAGAATATTGAACAAATAGGACAACTTTTCATGAAAATAGACTACAAAATTCAGCGGGTAAGCTGGGTTGTATTTTGTGAGTCCAATTTGAAGCTTAATAAGAAATGTGCATCACATACTAGTTCTGGCCCTTTTTAGATTGCCTTTCGCCCTTCAGTTCTTCTGTCAGCTCGAAGCTGAACCTGGAAGACATGCTTATATACAAGCTTCAAATTCACGTCATGGCAGGCTGCACTTGGAACAGTTTAACCAGGGATTTCGGTAACTAACACCAGTTCTGTGAAAGGAATCCTAAAACCAAGGACGGAGGGCCACATCCACCACTTTCCTGAAAAGCCAGGAAAATACCATTGGCATAGTGCATAGCGATGCATAGTGACAATGAAGTCGTGAACGCCTGCACAGTGTTTGGAACTGGGGTTGTCGGACAGTAAATTCTCAGCCAGGATTATTATCATCCCTATTGATCCTGCCCAATTTAGGTTGTGTAATAATGAAGAGTTTTTGGATTCTCAGTCATCACATACGACAGCGTCTTGCCATTGTTCTGGTGTGAATTAAGTTCAAAACTGATAAATGGAGCAGTAAGTCACCTGCATTCAGATCTTGGCCAAGTCCCCAGCCAAATCAAGTGCTTTGAAAAGGAATGTTCAGGATTGCAGGGCAGAGAGGGAAACTTCTAGTGAAATAGGGGTAGAGGGGGTGGGGAATGGAGAGGAAATGGTTTCTCAGGTCCAAAGACAGTTCACCTTTCTCTTCTGACCACATAGTTCTCCCTCACTGATACACTGCTAAGATTCCAAACAAGGCATATGACCTGCTGGGTAGGAACTTCACCATCAGATCAATGGCCTCCGGCTGGCCATTGGCTAGTTGTCTGATCTTAGGCAAGCCATTTAACTTCCCTTGAAGCTTGAGCTTCTGTGTTTGTAAAATAGTAGAGCCTGGGCCCTGACCCCTTTAGGTATGGTGGGTGATGGTGATGCCCTGCATGGAACATGGTACACTCTCAGTAATAGCATCATTGTCGTCATCATCAATCCCTTTAAAGGAAGAGGGAAAGCAGAAGTCAGGTGGCAGCCCGGAAACAGACTTCAGGCCCATCTGAGCAGGCTCGCCACAGTTATTACCCACAAGTCCAAGTGCTAACTAACATTTGCAACATCCAAGAAAAGACTGATCTATTCTCTAACGGGAAAGCAAAATTCTGAAAGCCAGAAATAACAGTGGATATGTAACGAATTGCCCTTTATTCTCTAGGAAGGCTTCTGCGTGTGTAGTGTTTGAAGCAAGCCAAGGCTTCGGCCTGACAGGAAGGTCCCTCTTGCTGTCTGTGCTGCAGAGGCTGCCCCAGGGGGGGTCCTGTGTGGCGCATTCTCTCTGTGCCTGATGATACCTTAATCATGATCAGAGAAGATGGAGCTATTTATTTCTGGTCCTTGCAGCTGAAGCTAAAAAGAAAAAAGTGGATTTCGGTATGTGATTTTCATTTGATAAGGCTGCTGAGTGCTACAGTTTGATTTTATTTGCTATTTTAAACTGCTCCTTAAGTGGCGTGATTACATAAATTGTGCCCTTGAATATAATATATTCATGTTAGATTTTGTTAGGCTACAGAATGCAAATAAAATATGAGCTTTACATGTAGTACAAGATGATGCTTCAGATCTTCTAACATCAGATGGAGTGATGCATTGCCTGTGACTCTATCACGTAATCTATTGTATGTGTTAATGAATGACAAATCGAATGTTCCCCCCCCCCAACATTTGTGGTTGTATCAGTTAGGCAGGCATGCCAGTGATACAGGGGAAGAAACTCCCAACCCACTGGATGTCCTACTATGAGTTCATGTTCTCTAAAATCAAAGAATGAATTTTAGGAACAATGAAGTTAAGAGTGGAACATATTTTTTGAGAGAAAGAAACTTCTGTCTGAGAGAGAGACAGAAGAGGTCCTGAGTGAGTTGCCAAAGATTCTGTCTTTTCTGAGGACTTTTATAGAGTAAAACCACCAAGTAAAACTGGTCCAAGGTGGGGAAAACCTGGGAACTCACAAAGTGGGCTTGAGGTGGGACAGAACTGTGGTCAACCAATAAGATTAATTGCTCAGGCAAAACTGATTAAATCAGGGACCAATGGGGAAGCCAGTCACATAGTAAGCGGGCATGCTTAAAGAACAGTGGCTCTTCCTGTAGGGGGTTAAGATGGTGACTCTTGGCTTCCACGGGGTGATAGAGACCTATTCAGAATATCAGTCCTTAGGAGGTGGGTGCATTTGTTTGATCTTTTGTCTTGAAGCCTGGCCCGCAGCAGGAGGTATCTGTCTCACCCACAGTTGTAAGGTATCTGGGCTTCTACATTGGCTCCTTTGAAGACCTAGCCCTGTCTCACTGCCTATAACATTTCTATCTAACTCAGCTGCCCGAAACACCAAGGTCTCTTTTCAGAGAACCTAATGAATTACAGAGTCAGAAGGTCAGAAGGCAAAAAGAATTTGGGTATATATTTAGGAGCTGCAATGTGCAATCTATGTCAGGATATATTTTCCTCCTCTTGTTTCTCTTCTCTTTCCATCTAGTCTTCGTCACCTCTCCTCTCCTTTCCTTTTCTTTCCTCTCTCCTTCCTCTTCCCTAGCCCCTATCCTCCTACTTCCTCTTCCCCTCCTTCTCTTTTCCTCCTCTCTTTTCATCCTCCTCCTCCTCTTCCTCCTCCTCCTTTCTCTCCTCCTGCTTCTCCCGCCTCCCCCTTTGAGCAGTACTAGAGATTTACCCAGAGAGTACTCACCTACATTCTCAGCCCTTTTTATTTTTAATTTCAAAGTAGGATGTTGCTAAATTTCTCAGACCGGCCTCAAATTTGCGATCCTCCTACCCCAGCATCCAGAGTAGCTGAGATTACAGGGTAAGCAACCATGCTTAGCTCTTTTATTATTTCCTTGAGCAAATAGTTGAGACCCTTGGTGATCCTGCAGTGGCTACTGGGCCAGGGCACCTAGACTCTGTCCTCAGGAAACACAATCCACACTATAATATACAGCTAAACCTCTCAGGCTACAGAATAATTCCTGCCTGGAGGGAGAAGAAAGTTGGATCTTCCAGTCTATGTATAAAGGTCTTCCTCCTGGAAAGAGAAAATCAACCAAAGAAAATATATAGTGCTAAGTGTGCTTGCTGTGGCTAAGAATGGCTCATGTGTGTTCACTGATTTCCACCTTTTGGCCCTCTAGGACAGTTCTATTATCCAGAAGCCCCAGTGGGCGACAGATGTCATCAGTATGCCACAAACTGATCACTGGCACTGTGCCGGAAGTTCATTAACAGGCAGTGAGCAGTCAGTGTTATGAGACCTGTTTCCATGCCTGAGTTTATTCAAACACATACATGTTTGTGGTATGAGGATCAAGTCATCAGATGTCAACACAAAACACTAGAGCGCCTAGATCAGGCTGTTGCACTACCCAAAGTTACTGCTTTGCTAGGCCTGAGGCACTGGGGGGGGGGGGGTGTGTGTCACTGTCTTCAGACACAGATGGGGACCCTGCTTTGGAGAGTACTTCAAAAGAAAGGAGTGGGCCACATGAGAAAAGTGGTAGCCTGGATTCTTTTTTAGTTAGTTTAGCTTGAAAATAATATGTAATTAATAACATTTTATTTTCTTGAATGCTTAAGACTGAATGAATAAATAAATAAACAAATAAATCCAGAGGAGAAGACTGTGCAGTACTCAGGGGCCAGATCATCTCAGAAGAGCACATCTCAGCCTAGGAGGGGAGATCCTGAAGGTTTCGATCAATGGCAGCCCAACTGCAGGGAAATGCACACTTCCGGAGCTCTGCCTAATGAACCTCAGTACATACAAGAATAAGGCTGGAGAGAAGGAAATCTAAGAAAATTTCAAAGTTGAAGCAAAGGAAATATCAGCACTGCGGAAGCATGAACTAGGATCTCAGCAATGAAAGCTGAAGCATTAGTTACTTCCGGTGCCAGGGGGCGTGTCTACAGGAAGGGGCGGGCCAGCCCGCTCACGGTTTCCCCTCCTCTTCCCGGAAGTCACTGGCTCTCTAGCTGTTAACCACTTTAACTGTCAGTCCATTTTCAGGCCGTCCAGGTTATCTTACTCAGTGTAATTTGTTTCATGTTCAGTTTAATAATCTCACTATCTACATTGTTAATTAATATGTACTCAATATATTAATATCATTCACATTGTTAAAAAGAACAAATTTGGGTTTATACATTCAGCTCATTTCGGTTTATTTTTATTATTTTAACTTTACATCAAGACATAATATTTGCATCTTTATGGGGTCCAGTAAGACACTTCAATACACATTTATAACAAGCAGTGATCAAATCAGTTTTCATTTCCTTGATTAATCATTAAACATCAATCATTTTTTTAAAACGTTAATCATTTTTATATGCTGGGGAACTGTGTTCTTTCATCATTTTGAAATATATCATAGGTTGCTTTAACCAATAGTTATGCTACTATTCTATAGAAAACCAGCGCAAATTCCTCCCGTCTCCATGTGTTTTAGCGCCTCTGATTAGACTTCTCCTCCTCCCCTCCCTGTTCCGGTTTCTGGAGACCACTCCTCCAGGCCATGTCACCATGAGCACTTTCTTTTGGGTCTCCACAAATGCCTGGGAACAGACAGTACCTGACTTTGTGTGCTTGGATTCTTTCAAGTCTGGTTTTTGAAAGTAGGCTAAGCAGCCTTATGTATGTGAGACAGACAGTCCAGAGCCCGATACAGAAGTGTGTGAGAGCCCCTGAGCTGGGAGATGGGAAGAGGAGGTTTTACGGGGCACTAGGAGACAGGGAACAACTAACCTGCACAGCAGGCAGAAAGGAAGTGGGGAAAAAAAGGGGGAATTTAGAATTTAGAATGACCCTGGTCAGTGCAGCATGAGCAAACTGAAACCATGTATTGCTTTTCTCACACCTGTGGAGTTGTTTCTCTCAGTCACCTCAAGGTAGACCTTCTCCTATGGGAAGGAAATAGGAGCACAGGTTAGGAGGGGAACAGATGAAGGAGGTCTTTACCCCTCCATGTGGCAGTTGTAATCATCCTTAGATATCACCATCAAACATTCACATTTTGAGCACTTAGCAAGTCCTAGGCATGAGACTGATCACTTTCCCATACATCATTTCAACAAATCTTCAGAACCTTTCTCCAGGATCGGAACTGTTATTATTCAATTTCCAAATGAGGGGATTAAGTAGTAAACTGGGAATTTAATCCCCCACTGCTGGAATCCAGAGCCCAGCACCAGATATCTTGGAAAAGGACCAGCCCTGGGGGCAGGCTTAGCACAAGGCTGAGAGCTGCCCCAAATGTCAGGAGCTCAAAGGGAGCCTGAAGCTCAGCTAGAGGATGCATCCTGAAAGGCAGGCTTTACAATGCTCAGGGGTCACTGCTTCGGAGGATCTGAGGAATATAAAATATCTCTGCAAAGATGAAGTGGGAAATGTATGGTTTATTCCAAGTACGTTTCCCTTCTGGACAGAAGCTTTCAACTGCAGCTCCCAGCTTGGAGCCTTATTGTCAGACTGGCAGCCTGGAAGCTGCTCCTCCGAATCCAGGCTGGGTAAGAAGGGCAGCCCAGGACAACGGGCTGTGCAGCTCTCACACGGTGCTTTCTCCTCCCCTTGGCAACTGCACGTGTCACGGTCCCATCAGCACACATCACAAAGATGTCACACGGCACCACTCTGCTCAGCAAAGAGGGATTTCCTGCATCTGCAAGGAGAAGGAAGTCTGAGAGTTGAAATTATTTTTAAAGTTAGGAGATTATCGATTAATCTGTGTCTTAAATGTGGCTGGATTAATTTTCCTGAAACTCAATTCTGATGGCATTATTTCTTAATGTTTGCCAACTCTCTGTCCAATTATAGCTTTCAGATTGTGCCTTAGTCCATTTTCTGTAATTTATAAAGAAAAGAGATTTATTTTGGCTCACAGTTCTTAGGACTGCAAAGCTGGAAAGCAGGATGCCGGTGTCTGCTTGGCTTCTGGTGAGGGTCTCAAGCTTCTCCCACTCACAGGAGTGAGGAGGAAGGAAGAACTCGTATGCAGGAGGGACAAAGCACGAGCAATGGGGCTGTTTTATAACACCTGGATCTTGGGGGAGCTGCACAAGTATCCTGGGAGAAAACCTTTAATCTCCATGACCCAAACACCTCCTGCTTGGCCGCCTCAATATGAGTTGGGAGGGGAAAGGCTGTGTTCAGACCACACAAGTGGCATCCAAGGACCCTCCACTCTCCCAGCCTTCAACCCCACCGCATCTTCAAACCACAGGAACCTCAGCCTGACTAAAACAGAGATTCTTCAACACCCGCCAGGCACTGCTCCTGACACCTCCATCCTCCAGCCATCTGCTAGATGTTTGCTGAGCCCCTGCTGCGGGCCCACATTGCCAGGTAGCGGGGATCAACATATGCATAGGTTCCCCTGTCTCCCAAAGCAGGTGGTTCTTGCTGAACTCTCTGTGCTGTTCTTTACGGCTCAGATGTTACTGCGTGCAGATTCCCCTGAACCTTCTTCCTACCCAGACATGCATCCCTCCCACCCCAGGAGGCTCCCCAGCCTTTAGCTGTGTTTGCCTACACCTGCCATGAGTGTGCAGCCCTGAGTACCTCATAGGTGACACCAACACCTGAGGCTCTGCTGGCACCTACCTACACACTCTCCGCACCTAGTAGGCACTCAGGGGTATTTGTGGAATGGCTGGAAGGGAAGCCCAGTTTCACTTTGCATTTGCCCTTCCTCCGCCCTCCTCCTCCTTCTCATTATGGGATATAAGTGTGAGATAGGGAAGGACAGTAGCTACCCTAAGTTTTGAGAAACACATCTCTCATTCATCTTTCTTTTGCCAATAGTTTTGCATATTGAGAAACAGAAAAGGCTGATGGGTTCAGAAGAAAGGGATTGAAAAGCTAGATCTGCAGGTTCCCATAGCTCCAGAGCACCTGACCCAGCTCAGCCCCTGTGCGCTCCTGCCCAGCAGAGGGCGCCCTTCCTGCTTCATAGCGGCTTCCGGAGGTCCTCTCCGCCCGTGCTCCACTACACCGTGGGGGCCCAGAGGGAGCTGCAGTCCTGCACAGCACTAAGGGTGCCCAGGCTCCCGGCCTGCACAGGCGGCAAGCTGAGGACTCCCAACTTGCCTTGCAGTTTCCCGAAATCACACAGCATTTTATCAGTGCCTTTGGGAAAGCCCAATGGAGAAAAGAAAAGTAATCCTTTCTGGGAGAACTCAGGGGCATGGAGGTCAGTCCCACTGTGCTGGGCAGGCTGCCCCTGTCTGCCTCTAGGCAACCTGTGAGCCCCATCCCAGGGTAGTCAAGCTCCTACTGGTGCATCCTGGGGAAGGCAGGAAGGAGTGAGAGACTTATGCAGGCCTGGAGCCTGAGGGTTGGTCTTCTATCTCAGCCCCTCTGCCTGTCTCTGGGGACTGGGACAAGTCGTGTCTTTATTCTCAACCTCAGGCATTTCATCTGCAAAACAGAAACTGTAAGCCTCGCCTCACAGGGCTGCAGCAAAGATGAAAATCTTGCTGTGGATAAAGCCCCTAATGTTGCACCCACTGCTGGCCCTTCCCTCTCAGGACTCCCTCCCTTTCCAGCCCATGAGTGCTCCCTTCTCCTGTCCTCACAGCTACTCAATCCTCCCTGCCCATCTTTGCCTGGCTTGCAGGCACAGCCACGCTGGCTTTCTTCAGCGCTTCAAACCCACTCAATGTTTTTCTGTTTCCTTTGCACAAACTGCCTTTTGCTTGCAAAACCATGCTTTGTGGTCCAGTCTCAAGTTAAATTTCCTCTGCTGTCCTTTCTTAACCTCCTTAAGAAGTCTATGTCTCCGCTGACCCCTTTCCTTCCCTGTACGCTGTGCATCACAGCCTATCCATGTAGATGGTGAATGCTGTGATGATTGGCTGCTCTGTCCACTAGCCAGGAGGGAAGGCATGGTACCTGCTTTGTTCCCCATTCTAAGTCTAACCAGTACATGGAGGTAACAGTTGAGGTTTTTGTTTTTAAGTAAATAGACAATCAGAGGCTTAGTGTCTGAGATCAAATCCTATTTGGAGTCCTCAGAAGTTGTGTGAATTCTGTGCTTCAGTCTCCTCATCTGTAAAGTCGGCGTAATACAAACAGCATTACTGGGTTGTTGGGAGTATTACCTGAGATAATTCCTGTCCATTAGTTGCCTAGCACAGAGGAAAGAGCTTTTTCAAGGCTGGTTTCCATTCTGATCATGATGAGGTGGTCTCTGAAAAAGAAGGCAGGCCAGAGAATGCTCCCAAAATTGTAAGTTCCAGGCATAGTACAGTGCCTGGAAGCCACGGGGACCTTGTGCTGCCTCCTCTGCTCCTGGAGCAGAAAGCTGTTTGTGTGTCCTTTGCTAAGGACAGGAACTCAGGAGCTGAACACACAGCATGCTTAGCTTGGAGCAAATCACAGTTGGGTAAATGGCTTAGTCCACTCAGGCAGCCATAAGAAAATACCTCGGACTGCGTAACTTTAACCATAGAAGTTTGTTTTCTCATAGTCTAAGAGGTTGGGAGCCCAAGATCAAGGCGGTGGTCAGTTCTGTTTCTGGTTTGCAGAGAGCTGCTCCCTTCTTGCTGTGCACCCTCATAGCCTTTCCTTGACTTGTGAGGGCAGAAAGAGAGCTTCCCTGGGGCTTCTCAGGAGACCACTGATCCTGTCGCATGAGGGCCTTACCTTCATGACCTCAGCTAACACCCAGGCTCTGTCTCCAAACAGCACCCTGGCTGTTAAGGCTTCATCCTGCAAATGGAGCAGGAGAAGAGCGTGCAGTGCCCAATGGTGAACATTTGCTGACTGGGATTGTACACTTTCCACATTGCCTCTGCTGCTGAGGAGGTTGTCTAGGATGCAGCCAGTGACATTGGCTGCCCACCATCCCGATCAGCCAATGGAAGTGTCCGTTAATGATGCCATTCTCTGAGAGCCCCTCCTCTGTGTCTTGGCTCCTGTCAAGAGACTTCCCAGGAGACTGGGAATGAGGTTCAGGATGATTCTCTGTGCCTCTGAAGCAAGGGCCAGTTCTTTCTTTCCAGTGTTTAATTTCCAGACACCCTCAACAAAAAGCAGTTCAAAACATCACTTTATAACTATTATAACTCCACAGCCTGGGCGCATGTGTATGAGATGTGACTGTGTCCCTATGTCACCCCAAAATCTCACTCAAGGCTAGCTGACTGCTCCCTACTGATTTCCAGAGACTAAACTTTGCACTTTATCTCCATTTCAGCTCACCAGCCTCTCTCACACCCCAGCCCAATCACGTAAAGCAGTAGTAGAACCAACGTGGTATTTATTATAATATCCTGGTGGAGTTAAGTTCTGGTAAGCACAATGATAGCTAGTTACAGGGACGGAATGCTTTGGGGAGCATTAATCATGGTATCTGAGTGCATTTGTGGGAGCACATTGTAAACTAATTACCATGTAAGTACCCACTCTGTCATTACCACTAATACATGACTTCAACTACAATGCAATTTCTATTTTGTTGCTTTTACATCACTTAGACATGCTCTGAAGTATGCCTCAGCCTGAACAGTTTTAGGTACAAATATAAAACACAGAAGTGGGAATTTTATTTTTTAATGCCAGGGATCAAACCCAGGGTCCTTAGCATTCTGGGCAAGTGCTCCCTTGATGAGCTACACCTCCAGACCAGAAATACTTATGATTAATGAGAAATACCTGCCTAATAAGTGTTTGGATGGTAGAGGATAAATAAATACATGAACAAAAAGGGATTTTTTATTCTAACCTGACCTATTGCTAATTTTTCTCCCAGCCCAGCACAAGACATTTTTTTTGAGTATTAAACTATCAATCACAAAGAATAATTTTTTACTAGGAGACATCAACCTACTCCAGAGGATTTCTTAGAAAAATATTTGAAAATGTAGAGGTTTTTGTGAAGACAATATATCAGTAAGAGAACAGAGATTGGCTTCGTTTCCTAAATGAGAATCTTGTTCTGTTCTATACAGAAAGGATTTATGTATCTAGAATCCTACTTACTCATGAAATGAACTCTAAGATATAGATTTACAAAACACTGCTTTCTTGTAATAGTCGCACCTTAGAGAGGAGGCAGGCAAGCCGATCTATCTTGGGAGCCAGGTCAGCCCAGATGGGGAGCCTGAGAGCAAAGCCTTCCCAGGAAAGAGGGAGCGTAGACCCAGATACAGAAGGAGCATCCCACACATGAACGCAGTGAACAGGGGTTTAGGGAGGGAGACCTTGGATACTTTGGAGAAGATGACAGAGTTTAAAGTAAAACAATTTTGAAGGAAAAAGATAGCACCAAGCAAGACAATCAGGGATTTACTGATGAAGGGACAGATTTTTTAAAAATGTTTAAGGAGAATCACTTTCATGGAGAAATGAGGGATGGATTACAATGGAGTCAAAAAGACCAAAGGGAAAATTATAAACATGCAAAGGCCTCAGGTTCCTTATCTATAAAATAAGGGGTTTCTTTTAATGAACAAACAAATCCACACATGTCCAAGCTCTTTAAGGAGTGACTGGCACATAATATGTACTCAATAAATTTTGGTGATTATGATAATGAGGTGGCACATGGAAGCTGGTGGGGTAGCAAATAAGTGATTCCAGGGCTTTGCAAGAGGCCCTAGGCTGCTCACTGCTTGGAAGTCAGGCCTGAGGGCAAAAGAACAGAGGACACTTGAGTTTGGGGGCTGATGAGCCTTCCCCAGTCAGGGGTCACAGCATGCCCACCCTAGGCAGAACCATCTTTGAGACCTTCTCTGTGTGCTGTAGTCCCTGCATCCCCTCTCCAGTGCTGTCTACACTAACAGAGAAGGTCCGCCACAGAGGACAGGACCTCGGCAGTCCCCGTGCTGTGCTCCTTGGCCTTCCTGAGGACCTTCTTGGCTCCCCTGGCTGTGCCTTTTCTTCATCTTTCCGCCAGTACTGCAGCCCTCCGTGCCGTGTCACAAGAGTATAGGGAGCTGGCTGTATCCATGAGACACCCTGGAGATCAGAGCCCGAGTAAGGAGCGGACGCTTAAGAAAACAGAGAAGAGGAGGCTGAGATGGGCAGCTGGGGAAGACGCACAACCACACCCGAGTCCCTGGGCAATTTCCCACAAGTCCCAAGTGAGCTCAGTGTCCCTTGAGACAAGTCAGTAATTTCACATTCTCTTCTGTCCTCAAATCCCCAGTAACTTCTCCAAGAGAATGAGCCTGAAGTGGAACATGTCCTGGTGCCCACACGCCCAGGAAATGGCAGCATCGCGTCCCAGTCCGTTACCCTGTGCCAGTGATGCCAGTGCTGCTGCTATACCACTGCACTGGGCCTAACACAGCAACCTGGGAAGGACGAATCCTCTCCTGCCTTGTGAGTCCGCATTACACCAACTCTGGAGCAGACACTGCTTTTCTTCCCTGACTTCTGCCATATCCCCACTCTCTGCTCCTTCCACTCCAGCGGCTTCTCCTCTGTGCCTCGTAGGCTTTCTCCCTGTACAAAACTCTAAGTGTTATGTTGCATTGTCGTGGTTTGGGCCATGTTTTAAAACTTACTTTTGGACTCGTGTGCTCTAAACATATGATTCATATCCTTGTGAATGCCAGTTGATCTTTTAAAGCCAAAGGTCAGCATACAACATCACCTCTGCCCCTCCAAATTCTGCAGGTTTCCTGGTGTTTCCTGTCTTGCTAAGTTGGGTCAGGCTTCATCTCATCGTCTGTGTTAGGAACCTTGGAGTTCTCTGGAACTGCTTCCTTTCTTCCTCATCTTCCTATCACTGACCAGTTCTGATCCCTTTTCTCTCCTCATTTTGTAACATGGGGTCCCTAACATTTTTCACAACGCTGACCGCCTCACCATTTGTAGTCTCTCTCTTCACAACTGAGCCCATGAACTCGAGGCAGATCTGACTATGATCTGTTAAACAACTGTCCCAGCCTGTGGGTGTACCGGTGCTGTGTACCACCTGATGGTGGCCTGTATGCCTTCTTAGCTTCTGTGCATCACAGAAGTGGTCAGTGTCTCTTTTTTCTTTGGTTTTCATCCAAGTGGACATTGACATACCCCTAACAGCTGGCATTCTCAAGATGTGGCAGTTCCCATAATGCTCCAGAAGAACCTTCTCACACAAGTGACAAAATCCTAGCTACCCTTCAACACTTTAGGGAAATTAATTTGGTTCAAGTCAATACACACAAATAACCTGCATTTTTTTTTCCTTAGACAGCTTATGAGGTTACAGATGGATGATCCATTACTTTATTTCTGAAAGACTAAAGTCTAGAGAAGATCTACCTTCAATAGCTAGCAATACTTCAGGGTGAGCTAACATCTTGTCTTTCTCCCTTTCATACAAAAAAAAAAACAGTGTGCTCTTTGCAGACACTGGCATTAATCTCGATCTCCACTTCACCTTTTGTAACTAGGAGTCAATGATTTTCTCCATTTTAAAGGGGAAACAAGATTTGTTCTGGTTTTTCTTTTTTAATCCTTCTATATTCCATAGAGGAAAAAAAGGAAGAAAGGTTTTTTGAAAAGTCAAAGGCTGTTCCAATACAGAGATGGTGAGATCATAAGATTTAGAATACCTAGATCTGTCAGAAATTGACTCACTTACAATAATGCTCTGCAATTTAAAATGGTTCAAAGAAACAGAATCTGGAGCCAACCCAAACACCACCGGGCACTTCTAGTTTTCCAGCCCCCTTATTTTTCCCAGGGCCAGTGCTGAGTTTGCTCAGGGTCTAGGGTCCAGTCCTAGGCAACGTATGGAAACTTCAGGTTATTGGCTGTGATGAATGCTCTCATGAATCATTGACATTTGAAGGTAGTTACTAATCCTTCACTCCCAAGTGAGACCATCTCCTCTGCTTTCTGTGTTGATATTAAAATGCACAGATTAGCTAGAGATGAGAAATTCCAGCCGTAAGGAGGAAATATCAGTTCTAAATCGGGCCTCCTCACATCCTAGAAAGAAATCAGAGAGGCTTTTTTGGGCAGTTAGATCGCTGCTGTCCATGTGCGCTGCTGCTGCTGGCCGATGAAAGGCTTCAGATGCCTGAATTCTTGGAATCTGGTTTCTTGCCAAAGCTGCAAAGCAATATGAATAATTTCTGGGCTCTCTTACTGAGAGAGAGATGCTTTTCTGGGATTTGCTTTTTTTTTCTTTAGGGAGGGAGGCAGAGATGCCGTTGGAGTCTGCCGCTCTTAAAGAAATCAGTGATTTCACACTTTGAAGCAGGATTGAAGGAGACTCCTCTTCGGGTGAGCAGTGGCAGAGCAGAAAATCTTCACTTCGGGCCATTCTTTCCATTTCTTGAAAAAACAGTTTTGTTGTGAGGAAACATGTCAGTATCCAGGAGCACAGATTCTTAAAAGACAAGCCGGGGATGTAAGCACCGTATGCCATGGCTTATTTTAATATACTCGGTAAACCAGTGCAAGTGTGAAATCTCACTCCATAGCTGCAGAGATGCAATAAATGGAACTTCTTTCATTTTCCACAACTCAAGTTCATTCCAGCTCTCATAACCTGCCATGGTGTTGGTCATTCCAGTGGTCCCCCCATCAACACTGTACCACATTTCCAAGGCCCTTTGGCGGGACCACTCTGAGTTGGCTCCCTGGACCACACAGAATATGGTAGTCATCTTTCTATCACTGCAACAAAATTTTGAGATGATCAATTTAGAGGCTCTGGTTCATGATCAGTTGACCCTGTTGCTTTAAGCCCGTGATGACTCAGGATATCAGGAAGGAAGTGCCAGGGACGAAGCGGGGTCAGGTAAGGGCACCAGAAATGTGGGATGACCAGTGTGTGAGCATCAGGAGGAGTCAGAACCATTAGCACAGAGAAACAGATAAAAAATGTCTCCTAAGAAGGTCACGTGTTCATAAGTGGGGTTCTGGGAAGGCAGTTAGATCACGGGGTGCTGGGGTAAATGGATTAATGCTTTGCTATGCTGTTAGGAGGTAGGACTAGGATGGAGGAGGTGGGTTAATGGGAACACAACCTGGAAGGTATGTTCTTGTCCTCAGCCTCTCTCTCTCTCTCTCTCTCTCTCTCTCTCTCTCTCTCTCTCTCTCTCTCTGTCTATCTGTCTGTCTCTCTCTCTCCCTGTCTCTCTCTGTCTGTCCCTCTCTCTCTCTCTCTGTCTGTCTGTCTGTCTGTCTCTCTCTCTCTCCCTGTCTCTCTCTGTCTGTCTGTCTGTCTGTCCGTCTCTCTCTCTTTCTCTCTCTCTGTCTGTCTGTCTCTCTCTCTGTCTCTGTCTGTCTGTCTGTCTGTCTCTCTCTCTCTCTCTCTCTCTCTCTGTCTCTCTCTCCTTCTGACTCTCTCCTCCCAACTCTCTGGCCCAGTAAATCAGTGTCAAGAACAGTTTCTAGAAAGATGAGGACCAATATTTCCATGGGATTCAACAGCAAGTTGCTGAGTGAACAAGTTCTAGGGAGGTGAAGCCAAAGCTTCATAAGAATAACATCAAAATACAATAGGAGACATAAATGGAGACAACAGAATGAAGCTCTCGCTTTCAAGTCACTTCAGTATGTAAAGAAGAGTAAAATGAAGTTGTGGTTGGAGAGGAAAAAGAATCAAGACAAATTATTTTCTTCTGCCCAGTAGGAGAAACAGAGAATGCTTGTGGGCTCATGGGAATGATCCAGTAAAATCTGCAAATTTGAGAAAGCAAGAGAGAAATGAGAGAGAGGCTGAGCCTTGGGTGGACAAGCAGAGCGGGTCCAGTGCACGGCTAGAGGCTGCTTCAGGGAGAAGCACGAGTGGCCCCCAAGGAGGGAACCAAGGGGAGGCTACGAAGCCCAGGGACAGTTAAGCATGTGTGCGTAGGATCTGGTTTTGAGCATCTTTCTTAGTGACCCTTAGTGACAAGGAGGATGGGGATGAGGGGCGGGGATGAAGTGTTAGGAACCTACAGAGAAAAGGGGAAACGAGCTCATCTTGGGAAGTGGAAGATGAGGGACAGCTGCCAGGAGGTGCAAAGAGCTGATCAGTGGTTTGTGGTTACGAATTCGGAGTCGGGCCACTCAGCACAGTTCTGGGGTTTGTTTCAAGCCAGGGTTTCACGTGGATACAAGCGGGAGGTAGACGGAGAGTCAAGGTGGGCTTGGCCTGGGGTGCTGCTTTGCCAAGCCGGAACAAAAATGAGAGAAAACAGGGATTTGAGGAAGTGTACAAGGAAGTGGATTTAAGCCAGGTAAGAAGGAAAATGAGACACAAAGGATCAGGAACAGTGCATATGCACCCACCAGACTTAGAGCGAGTGAACGGGGAAGCCCGGAGGTGCAGCCCCCAGAACGGGGATCCAGTGTGGGTGGAGACTGTTTCCCTTGTTACTAGTGACAAAGTGAAGGACGTGAGCTTGGCGGTTAGTGACTGATCCCTGGTGAGGCCAAGTGCCTCGGGAGGTGTGAGGTTAAGGGAGAGAGAAACCAGCAGGCCAGAAAGATTATTTACAATTGATATTAAAATAACCAAGAATCACAGAAAGGTTTTTGCTGAAGAGAGTGAACGTGTAAAGAGGCCAAATTCTCTATTCAAAATCTTCTGTAAAAAATACAAGACGTAAAGGTTTTTTGGCTCAGAACAAGCCTTTTTGTTCACTTGTCAGAGGGTCTCAAACCATTTTCTTCTTAAAGAACATGTATGCTATTTTTGCTTTTGTGTTTAACAGCATCTTCCATGGACTGATCATGTCTTTACTTGGAAAAGCGCTGTGCAATCTGCAGGGCGATGTGGCTTCACGATGGAACCAGGCCACCAGGGCTCGGCTCTTCACCGTCTTTCTCATTTCTCCCTCTGAAGAAAAAGGTAATTCGCAGATTACCAAATATACACCAGAAGGAACCTTAACAACAACCTTTCTAAAGGCATAAAAGAAATCCCAACTGTCATCTATATGTTTGGATAGACAAATTCAGTATTGTGAAGATGTCCCAAAATTAAACCCCAAATTCAACATCTAATCACAATCTCAATGAGGTTGTTTCATAGCTCAAAAAGTTGATTCTGCTGTTCATGTGAAAGACTAAATATGTAGTAATGGGCAAAAAGTACCGAAAAAATAAAACAATGTGGAGGACTTGAATCCTAGATATCAAACTATGTGGTTAACTTACAGGGAACAAAAGCAGTGAAATTCCAGAACAAAGAAGAAGTTTGCAGACTGGACAATGACAGTCTTAGGGGCTGGGGATTTAGCTCAGTGGCATAAGCATCTGCCTTGCAAGCAGGTGGCCATGAGTTTGATCCCCAGTAGCAATTTAAAAAAAAGAAATAGATAATGACAGTCCTCTCTGTACATAGGAAATAGTATTTGGTGACCTTCACATTTCCAAAGTAGGAGAACAGTCTAACAAACAACTCTGCACTATTTATTTGAGGAAAACTTGAGTCTGTGCATCATACAGTATATAAAATAAAATCTAGGTAGAGCAAAGACTTAAATATTTTTAAAGTGGATACTAGAAGAAAATAGAGAAGAACACCTTAGCAATAACGGGAGTAGAAAAAAATATCTCTTGCAAAACCACAGGTCTGAATCTAGAAAGTGAGAAACAGATTTGACTGCCCGAGGAGCTATCCAAAAGAAGAAAGTTTCCATACAGTACAAGATTAAGGTGCAAGGGCTTCCAGGACAGCAAAATGTGTTTATTTACAGTTTTGAAGACATTACATGAAAGGAAATTATAATGTATACAGCAGTGTATAGGGAATGAATTAAAAGATCATATGCACATATTTATGAATAGAAACAAAATATACATAAACAGGAGTATAACAATCACTGAGCAAAATATAACACTTAAGTGGCTTTTAGAAACTTATGGACCTATGAACCATCTTTCTCTTTGAACTTCATAGATGCCAGAAGAAGACAACCACACCTATTATAGGGATGGCAAGTCTATAACTACGCGAATGTGTTTGAAAGACATGCAGATTTCTAACACCGAGCCACTAAAGAAATGTCTCTAGAAAATTCTTCGTTTTGGGCAATAAAAGAACAATGAACATTTCTGATATAAATAAATTTATTTATGGAATTCAGAGTAGCTTCACAGTGTCCGCCAAGCCCTGCAGCTGCCATGTTCATGAGTCCCAGACACCGGCTGGGGCTCCCACCCTGGCATCCTCTCGGCGCCTTCCCTGGTTTCTGATGACAAATCTGACTGAAACATGCATTTTTGTGATCATGGCACACAGTACTGAGGTTTAGGAGGTCACTAGGACAAGTCACACTGCTCGGCACCTTCCCGCTCCCCTCCTTCCGCTATCTCTTCCGCAGGTCGCCTCTGCCTGCTGCCACCGGTCCCATCAAGCCCCATCAGGACTCCAGCTCTGGTTATGGTACATGTCAGGGTCACCCAAACCTTTGGAGCCCAATATCTACTCAAAGGAGGGGACTGCGGCAACTTCCTCACCCTCACTAAAGGACCTGGCTAAGAGGAAGGAACTGCTCACCTCATGTGCTGGATTTGGGAGCTGTCTCGCCCTGTGTCCCTTCTTCCCTTCCCATGAAAGAGATGCATGGCCACTTCAGGAAAGTCCCCTCCCCTCCTCCAGGCTGGGAAGGCAACATTTCCCCATTGCTAGGCTGGCAGAACCTTCACAGAAGGCTCATAAGTCCAGACACCACCCTACAATCCTGGGATCTCAGCTTCTGCATGGATTTTTAAAGAAGTTCCTTATTTTAATCATGAATCAGCACAGTGGAAGTGGATCATTAAAGGAAAAGAACTGGAAATCATTTGTGATGTAGGCAAAGTCAGCAAGTGTCTATTTCTATGGCTGTTCTATAAGTAGGGCGTGACATAGAGGACACTTGTTAGAGCCACCCTCCACCTCTGGGTCGTGGTTCTTGACATCCCATCTGAAGAAGGTATTTCGTGTTTGTGTTGTTTCAGTGCCATGGAGCCTGACAAGTGCCGGATCCACCATGGTGAGACCAGGTAGGCAGGGGATGCCACTGAGACAGGGACCACACGACCATCTGCTGTCCTTTCTGGAACAGTAGGAAGGGTGGGCAGGAGCACCAGTGTCTCCAGGCTGAGATAGAACAAGAGGAAAGCAGACAAGGAAATGCCGTGGGATGACAACAAAAACCTCCATAGACAACGCCTGTGCAAAGCTCACTTGCGTGCCTGGTGCTTAGCGCCGGCTCTTCATCTCCTCACACACCCAGAGGTGGATTATCGCTGCCATTTGTGAGTGTGGGGAAACTGAGGCACAGAACAGTTATGGAAGTTGCGCAAGGAGGTGGCAGAGCTGGGATACGAGCCCAAGCAAGTTGAGCTAAGTGTGTACAATTATTCCTGTGCTTTACTGATTTGCAAATAAGGGAAATGGCAAATGTGTGAAGAAATAGGCCCGGGAGTGGAGGAATCACTCAGGAAGCATCTGAAAAATCCAAGTGCAGGGAAAATGACGGCACAAACGTGCTTTTGGCTTGCAGGGAAGGTTCATGTTCACCAGGCCAGGGCGGGAGGAATCCTTATTCTGTATTTTGCTTTAAAATTAGAAGCAGGCTTAAATGCAAATTTGCCTGGGGGAGTAGACAGAGGGATACAGACACAGCTGAATTCAGGGATCCAGTAACCTACGGTCCTTCTGGAGAGCAGATCTGGACAGCTCAGAGATGGAGGGCACTGGATTCTGGAGTGGAGGAGGAAAGAAAGGGGCTGAAAGAGGAGCTCGTAGGTCTTGAACTCTGTCTGGTCTTGCTTCCTAATTTCACTCCGGTGTTGCCGCTCCTCTTTTTCCTAAAGACTTTTAGTAAAGCCTGAGGAGCCCAGGGGAGAGCAGATACCCAGCCCTTACTTCAGGCCGCAGCCCACGCGGGGTGTGGGGTGTGGGGATCGGAGATCTAGCATTGCCTGCTCTAGGGGGCGCCACGCACGTAGCGTGGATGCCAGACACGCGGCCCCCAGGGTGGAATCCCAGCGGTGGACGCTGGCGCAGAAACGAGGTGACACAGCAAAGCCCTTCTTGGTCCACCGCGCCCTGTACTTGGGGCTGCCAGGTGCTTCTCTCATCCTGGCCGCTGTCCTGGCTGGGGTCCAGCCTGGTGGCTGCCCTCTGCAGACGTCGGCGAGGCCAGCCAGGCAGGGCCCGTAACATCGCCTGTTCATTGGAATGCAGGCTCACCCGTAAGAATGCAAATGATTCATTTCACTTTCTCCTCCTGACACGCCGCGCTGGTAGCAATAACGGGCTACTCCTACACCTGTCACCGCTGCTGCTCTGCGCACTGTGTACGGGGCTTGCCACTCTGCAGGTGTATATATAGCAACCTTCATTAAAGGTTGGAAGAGACCCGATCATCCACTGCCCTCTAGTGGGCTCCATGTGAATGACACCGTGTACGCCCTGCTGCTGCCAGGTTCTAGGAGAATCCGGGGTTTTGGAAATAGTTGCAGCTTCTGTGGCTTTCATCTTTCTCGCTAGTATGTGTGGTTCTTAATTAACAGCCCTGAAATGGTACAAAATGTCAATCAAGCGTGACTCTTCGGGGAGCTACACGTGAATGTTAAAAAGTCACATTTTCAAGTAGTATTTAAGGCCTCATTTGATACTTTTTTTTTTTTTTTCTTTTTGAGACAGGGTCTCTATGCAATTCAGGCTGGCCTTGAGCTCACTTGGTAGCCCAGGCTGGTCTCGAACTCGCAACGATCCTCCTGCCTCAGCCTCCTGAGTGCTGGGATTACAAGCGTGAGCCACAACGCCCCGCTCGATACTCATTTTTAAAATCACGTTTTTGTGGAAGGACCTCGGAAAAGACTTGAAGTGACTATAGCATTAAAGAGGGGCTCGGGTTGCCATTTAACACAGGCACGGGTTGTGCGTGAGAGCCAAGCAGGTTGTTTACAAGGCAGAGGCCCCAGCTCTGCCTGCCTGGTCGCCTAATCTGTCACTTAATTGTCTTTGGGCAGCTTTTGATGTTTGCAGTTTTCACACTCACTTGTCATGTGTGTTAGTCAGCTGTCCATCCCTGTGACAAAATACCTGAGAAAAGCAAGTTAAAAGAGGAAAAGTGCATTTTGGCTTATGGTTTCATCCTTGGTGGGCAGGCTCCACGGCCGTGCGCTGGGGGTGAGGTGGAACGTGTGGTGTGTGGAACAGAGCTGCCCTCCTTATGCAGCTGGGAAACAGAGCAGGAGGGAAACAGCAAGAGAAGAAAGGGCTGGAAAAGTCATAATCTCCAAGGTCACAGCCCCAGGACCCACTTCCTCCCTCTGGGCCACATCTTCTGTTTCCATTATCTCCCAGTAATGCCATCAAATTATGATCTCATCAATGGATTAAGATGAGGTAGTGTCCTCATGACCCAATCACCTTCTGAAATCCCCACCTATCAACACGTGAAATCTGGGGTGGGAGGGACATTGTGGAACCATAACATCAGGTATCTCTGGAATTAGGGACTGTTATGGCTTATATCAGTGGCCCCAGGCCTCGTGCATTTGCATTGTGCATTTGTGATTGGTTCATTGTCTAGTGCTTGGATTGATGGTGTCAGTGCTACACCCGCCTAGGGGTGGAGCCAGCATCCAATGTAATGGCAGAAAGAAGGTGCATCTTTCTCTCTCTTGGCAGTTTCCCCTTTGCTGTTTGCAGCCACCATGAACTGTGGCCCCGCCATGCCACCCTGCCTTGGAGCCAATTGAGTATGGACTGAAACCTCCACAAACTGTAAGAAATAAATCTTTCCTTTCCCAACTTTGGGCATCAGGTATTTTGTCTCAGCAATGAGTAAAAAGTAACTAAGACAGGGACTTAATCATACTCACCAGGAAGACACATTTATGACCTGCTACAAAGCCCAGAGGACCTTGTTCATCACCACTACTTCAAAGGCTGCTTTGATGAGAATTGGACCCTGCAGCATCTTCAGATTGCTGCACTGAGTGCCAGGATCATGCATTTAAAGATCTTTCCATAATAGTCATCAGGGTTACATTTAGTATATTAAGGAAGCACTTTCTTAAGATGGTTAATATATAACATTGGTCCTTCTCTGAGCCATGTCCCCATTGCCAGCACTTGAACAGATCCTAGAGTTTGATGGATTTTTCTCACCTCGTAGCATATCTGTGGATTGGAGTAACTCTCTATGCAGCTTGTTCTTGCTACCAAGATTTCCATGATAGTGCCAAGCATGCCCTAAGGTGCCCTTGCACAAACAGATCAGATTTGCACCTGGAAGTACAGAATGGGGCTAGACACAATATGTACACTTTGGGAGAATTGAAGAAAAGTCTTTACTTTGCTTAGTGGTTCAAATGAGGAAACCAGGCTCAGAATAGTCACAAAAGGAATAAAACAGGTGAGGTGCTAACAACACACACACACACACACACACACACACACACACACACCCCAACCAACCAATGACAGGACAGCCCTATTAAGGTCATTCATTTATTTCAGGCTGATTGAAGCCAACTGATGAGAGGAAACTTCCAGGAGACGAACATGTTGGTGAAAACCCTGTGGTTATTGACATAGAACAGAACTCAGGTTTTTCCACTTTATATAAACAGAAACTTCCATAAGTAAAGTGCTGTAGAATTTTTCCTAAGCAAACTCTAGTCTTCCCCAGAACCTCACAGGAAATGCTGCTGCTGAGTCATTGGGTTAAATGTTTCTTCCTGAGTCACAGGTGAGCGGAACCTGCTGCTCCGTGTGGAGGGCGACAGGCCTTGGCCTGCCCAGTGGGGTGCAGCATAGGGTGGAATGGGGCTGCCACTAACTGAGCAGAGACTTCAAGGGCTGCCGAGGACCACAGGGAAATCCTCATCCCTCAAACTTCATTGCAATAATGAAAGTAAAACAGGCTGGGAGTACTATTCATCAGAGTAAAATCAACAGAGTCACCTTTTCTGTACATCCCCATTAGAGCCCAATAAAGTCCTCTGGCAGCCTGTTTTGTTAGAGTTGGACCACATGCTCTTCAATTGTACCTGGTTCCGTGGACCCTGAGACCTCAGAATGGAGTGGTCATCTATCTAACCCCAGCAGCCACAGCCAGTGTCTTCAGAATATCATCTCTAGTGAAGTCCTTGGGCCACAACCGAATTAAATTTTAGCAGTAGAGAGAAGGCAGTGCAGACAGGGGTTCATGGCTGAAAGCTAAGAATATTTTTTAAATCTATCTTAGGAATTTTAAAACCGATCTAGGAAAATCAAGACAAAACACATAGAAAATGATTTCAAAGTACAGATTAAAAACATCAAAGAATGCATCAGTGTTTCTGCTCTCCAGCCTTTCATTGCGGCTGCTTCCTCCTCGGATCACCTGCCTGCCCCATGCATCTAGTGTTTGTGTGCAGTGATACAGTAGGCTGATACAGTGGAGACAGAGCCACCGTTCCAAGCTGGCTTTCGTTCAGCTGAGAAGCCGGCTTTCCTGGAGGCTTCCCGCTCGCCATGCCACTGCACCCGCTCCAGCTGAGCTCTGGCCAAGCTGCCTTGTTGGCACTTCTATGCATGTTTTATGGAAGGGTTTCAAAGCTACTAGTGCTGCTGCTGTTGCTGCCGTGGTGGCTCTAACCTGGCCCTTCATGTCTCAGTCTAGACAGATGCATGATTGAATAAAGGATTCATCCAAGCCCTGTGTCACACTGGCCACCTGGAAAGTAGCCAGCCACTCATTTAGCAAATTGTTCTGCTTAAATGCAGCTGCTGTGTCTCAGCATTTATGTTACCAAGACAGATCTCAAGACTCCTCTTCCTTCATTTATCTGTGCAGTGCCTCTCAATCTGCAGAGGAACTTTAAAAGGCTGTTAATGCACGACAAGGCACTTGACCCGCATGATTTCCAAGCCAAGGGGGAGCATCCATCTTGTGCGGGGTCGTCCTTTCCTCAAAAGCAAGGGCACATTGCCTGTGCTCCCTGTCTTAATGAAGGCTGCCTTTATTAAGAATCGCATTAAGCTGCACAATGCCCAGCCATCCAGCACTGTAAATATTACCCTTTAGAAATGTGCCCAGGGGCCTGGCTCAGGAAGCTGGCCCCGTAGCAAGTGCTCATCCTGCAGTCAGGAAGCAATGGCAGATTTCTGTGGAGGGAACGGTGCTGTTTGACAGGTTGGCGCCCTCCTCCTCTTGGAAAGATGGATTACAGACCTCCTCAGATAATGTCAACAAAGCCCCTGAGATGATCTGAATTAGAGCTGGAAGTAAAATGACTTCAGAATAGTGATGAGCTTCTCAGGTGTTTTACCTGAGCTTTCTTTTCTCCAAAGGGGAAAAAAAACTGGAAGGAGGCTACAGAGCTGAGCAGTTTATTATTACAGTGATGTCACTGGTCACTTTGACCTGGTGCTGTCATCTCTTACTTCCCAGGGCAAATAATCCTGGTCACCACGGCTTTTGTGAATTGCCTAACATTTGGGGTCATGGTGTTATTAAGTCTGGAAGTGAGGAACAAAAGCAGTGAGTTCATCAAATAAATATATGCTCAGCTTTTATTTAGGCCCACTGAAAAAGAACAGCACAATAAACTAACTTCGCAGTCAGAGCACTTTTGGAGACAAAAAAAAGGAGAAGGGGGCAGAACTTGCTGGGTGGTAAGGCCTGTGGGCTCTGGAATCAAATTCCAGTGCAATTGGGGGCGGAGTTTATCAGTTTGCTTTCTTCTCAAAATCTAATGGATGGTTATCTCTTGGTGTTATTTTTTAGGACCAATTGAATCTGTCCTTGGATATAGTAAGAACAACAAATGATAGAAGATGTTTGATCTTGACTGTCGATACTAGAGGGATTCAGAGGAAATAAAGAACACGTTGGCGATAAAGAGCAGTGAGGCGATCTTCACGGGTCAGCTTCACCCTGGAGGAAACGTCAGCCCTGGTGGGGAAAAAGGATCAGACAGATGGGCCATGTAAACAAGATGGAGAGATGGTGTGGAGAAAGAGCCCAAAGACAGGGAGTGTGAAGGAAAGTGTGGAATAAATAAGGGAACCCAAGATGAGCGACACTGAAAGCCAAGGTCCAGGGTCTAGTGATGTGAATCTGCAGCATGCATGCCACAGCTGGCTGTGTGTTATTATGGAAAGCCCTAGAAGGCTCACCAACCATCACGGGACTAGATCTCATCTAATTGATGACAGATGACCATTTTTATCTCTTTAGAGGAAAAATGGCAGAAAGCTGTGTGTGGGAAAGATTTATCTGGTATCGGGATAGGGGAGTTCATTGGAGAAATGCAAAACTGAGGATGAAGCCCGAGGCCAAGCACCATTCCAAGCCGGAGGGTGACAGGAGGTGGCGGAGAGGTGGATAGGATGGATGAAGCCAGTGGTCCCTGCCACAGTAGATAGACCCACTGTCTCTACGTAAATGCTAGGCAGGCAGGCAGGAAAAGAAGGGGAAAGAGAAACTGGTTTTATGGGCACCTTAGCCATGGCAGACAATAAACATTTTTTTTGCTTTTTATCGGTACCGGGGATCAAACTCATGACTACCTGCTTGCAAGGCAGGCGCTTATGCCGCTGAGCTAAATCCCCAGCCCCCGACAATAAACATTTTAACCATTCTTGTTGAGCAGGCTCCATGCAGAATGTCCTGGGACACACCAAGGAAATGGCGAGCCCTGGGGGAAATGAAGCCATGGAGTTTTCTTGGCTGATCTAAGGCCACAGGTCTGATATTATGTGATATTACTGGTTTTGAGAGTGAGGTAACTATAGATAGTCAAGGTCCTCTAAGTGCAAGGGTCCTGTCAGAAGATGCAAGGGCCAGCTTAGAGTGATAGAGATGTAGACATCACTGGCTTTGGGGAAAGCCACGCAGTAAGAATCCAAAGCCCCTGAATGACTGGGGTGTTGGACAGGAGAGCAGAGGGCGAGAACCCAGCTGCAGGATATAAGGAATGAGCTAACAGGGAGAGGAGCCAGCAGAAGCCAAGGCAGAAGTGTCCAGCACAAGATGGTGATTATGAGCTGAATCCAGGGCACTCAAGGAAGGTAAGAGGCGGAGGAAACTGCATTCAACTTATTAGGCGTGGCCCTTTGGTGGCACATAGAAAAATGATAGCCAAAGGCAAGACGAAACTGGATTTCAGAGTTCCAGCCAAAACACGCAATCAATTGATCCGGAGACCTAGAGGGAAAGTAGCAGTCTATCATAACTGCCTAAAACAAGATGAGTTTTAAAATGATACTGCCATGCCTTTAAAACGTGGCAAAAGGCAACAACGCCGGTGCGGTTCCCATTAATAGATTGCACACTGGGAAAACCTTTCATAAGATGTGCTTGACACGGAATTTTTGGTTTACGTCATGCTGAGGTTAAAATAGCCCAGAAGCCTGAGATTCCATTTGTGCCCAGACTGAAGTTGTTTAGCAAGAAAGCGGTTTGACACTACCTATCATGAAGTCAGTATGTCACAAACTGCACTGAGGCCGGTGCCCATTCCAGACTGACCTGCCTGAGCTCAAAGATGAGACGAATTATTTATTAACTCCAGCTCTGTGTTTATAGTTTCTGTTACCTTGAGCACATCATCGGACCTTGGTGTCCTGTTTGTAAGATGAAAATAAAAAAAGTGCCAGCTGCATAAGATTATTGTAAGAACTTAGAGCAATAAAACACGCAGAGCATTCTGTAGTATAGTGGCCTGGCACTGATTCGGGGGTGTAGTCTCTGCTCACATCGATACCCCAAAATACAACAGCATCTAGAGGTATCCAGTTTTATGCATACAAACCTTACTATTGTGCCATCGTTTTCCTGCATATCAAATGCTGTCCTGAGTGCCTGTCGCTGTGAGAAACATGAAGTGATGAAGGCCCTTCAACTCCCTGGTCCCTGGTCAGCTGCACTGGGGAGAGTCCTGTGGGCTGAGTCCTAATGCTTGGTCTGCAGCCCTAAGCTGACCAAGGTGGCAGCAGTCTAGCCAAGCTCCTGTTCTGCTACTTATGGCAGCTCTAGCATCTTCTAAATGTGAAAGCCATCTGTTTAGGGAAGTACAAAAAAGCCTGAGAACCCTTTGCTGTCTTTTAAACAGAGTGATATTGTTTGTAGATTCTGAGGGAAGAATACAAGCTTTCAGGAATGTGTTGCCTTTTTACTTCTGAACGAAATTTCTTTTTCTTTTAAACTGTGTTGGAGGGACGTGTGAACATTCTGGTTTTGGCATCTGTAGGTGAACTATTAAGGTAAATATTGAAGTTGAAATGTGATTTCAAAAGAAGAATAACAGTGCTTTTCAAAAGCAAAGACATCGTCTCTTAATGTAACTATTGCATGGGGCAAAAGAATAAACCCACCGAATGTTCTCAAGGTGGTTTAGGATTGAGATTTTCTTTCTGTTCATCTTTCTCACGTTCTCAGATTATAACGTCACATTCTCACTCCCGATGGATTCATTTCTCGGCTTTACTGTGATATTCCTATCACGCCTCACCCCTCTGGACTTCCAAAGTTGTTGTATTTATTCATTCATTCATTCGAAAATGTTTCTGATAATCTAATGGAACATTCTATTTGATTAAAGAGATTAGAACAGTGAAAACAAAAACTAGTCATTTAAAAACTGAGTGTGGAAATTTCAACATAAGATGTTCAGAGGATCAGAGATCATAATCTGTCTGGGAGTTAGGGTAGATAAGCTATGTAAGAAACACTGCACCCCAAATTCATTAGCTTCTCATAACAGAAACTTACTACCTACTCAGGTAATAGTGTGCTGCAGGCATTTGGTAGATGACGCCCACACAGTGATTCAGGGGCACTGGTTCCTCTCAGGTGTAGGTCCTCTGCATCCAGACAATGAACTAAGCAAGACATCAAGGAAGGGGCCAGGTGGGAGAGTTTCTCAGCCTGTGCTGATGTGTGCTGTATGTCACTGCTGCCTATCTTCCAGAAGCCAGCCACAGGACCAAACTAAATGCACCATCATATCAAAAATGTCCTTCCCTCCATCCCAGCTTTTCAAATTCCTCACCCCTACAATGCTAGGAAGCTGTCACATCCCTTCCAGAATGTCTCCCCAATCACAGCACAAAGGCCTCTTTCTGTACAATCATGGTCTGCACCATACTGAGAGCCTTTCTCATGCACAGCCTCATGCTCAGGTTTGATATAAGTGTCCCCTACCTACAGCAGAATTTGTATAATAGAGAAAACACCTGTCTTTTAGTGAGCACGCAATACACTGTCGCTGGGGAGAGACAGTCAGAGATGACAGCGCAAACCATCCCGAAGCTGTGTTCCGTGGCTGTGTTCTCTGTAGCTTGACTTCTGCCAAATACTTGTCCCGCCTTGGTGTGTCCTCATTCATAACCTAAAGGTGGCAGTGCTTATACTGCCTGTCCCTGAGAGATGTTTGAGATCCTGAGGAGACAGTTCAGGTGTATCTAGAAGGAGGATCTAGTGAGATTGGCCACTCAGCTCACCTCTCGGGAAGGGACACACAGGATGCTCTGGGGACAGGGCTCAGGTGAGAAACCTGAGTCTGCTGGGAGGCAAACAATTCCCTGTGTCTGAAAAAAGGAGGGGCAGGATGTGAAGATGTGGCCACCTGTGCTGCTTCTTAGAAACTGGAGAGATTTTGCTATAATTAATAAGAAGGGGGTAATGCAGAAGTGAACAGTTCTGGCTTTGAGCTCTGAAGATAACTAAAGAATTCCTTTTCTAATTAGAAGAAAGAAAAACTGGTTAAAACCATTCTGCTGCTGCTGCAATTCAAGCTCTATTTAAAAGCAGCATTTACCTACCCCAGAGATGAGCGTAGTCAGCCTTCAGTGTTCTCCTGGGGCTGGTTTTAAGATCCCTGTAGAAACCTCAAGTTGCGAATGCTCCAGTCCCTTACATAATACAGTATTTGCATGGGACTTAGGCACATCCTCATATGTACTCTAAATCACCTTTAGATGGCTTATAATACCTAGCACAATGCAAATGCTGGGTAAGTACTGTTATACTGTGTTCTTTAGGGAATAATGACCACAAAAGATCTGGATGTGTTCAGTACAGATGCACTTTTTCCCAAATATATTTGATCTGTGATTGGTTGAACTGGAGGGTGGGGAGCCCACAGACACACCATGTGGGAGGTGTTCTGGTCAGGATTTTTAATAAACTTGTTCACCTGACTTCTGGTGAGCTTTTTCTCTAGAAGCTCAGGTTAGCTTCTAGAATATTGCTTAAGCAGAATTTGGGGGGCTCCCCAGCCCGTACTGATGGGGCAGCTCTGTGATGCTGCCTCACATGGAACCTGGGCAGGCGTCTTACCTCCTTCAGCTTAGGCTTCCCCACTTGTGAGCTTGGGAGCAGACACAAGATGTATTTCTCCAGCTTCTAGGACCTAGTGCCAATACTGAGCACCAAGGCTGGATATAAATACAAACACTGACTCATCCAAAATGTCCTCTTGATACAGAGACATGGGAGTCCTCCAGATAAATTATAATTGGTTGGTTTTCAGCCCCCAGATAAAGCTAAAAGCCTCATCTCTGTGGAATATCTCCTCTGTGCTTAAAGGGCTGGAGATTCCCTCCGCAGACAGCTGAGCGTCTCCCAAATGCCCCTGGCTCTCTTACGTAATTTCTGGACAATGACAGGCAGGGTGAGTATTCAATATGCTTCCTCTTTGGTCTCCTCCAGATTAGTTCTGGAGATAACAAGTATGTGCTTTTATGGGCTGAGACACACACAAGTGCCCTGGAAGCAGAGGTGATTGCCCCTGGCCCCTGTGCATACACTCATGGATTGACAGAACTTCCCCCCACCACCACCAACATTCCCTGGGAAGGAGCTGCCACCCGTGTTGAGCTGCCAGCCAAGGGTCCGTCTGCAATAACCGTTGGTGACTATGAACTGTAAGGGGAAAGCTGCCATGGCCTGGGCACCGTGCAAGCCACAGTCAACCGCTGGACGCAGTGGGGTGCCGAGGCAGGCTTTGGTGGAGGGGATGCTCAGGGATCTCTTTGGACTGTGAGCTCATGGGAACACACCCACAGAGTCATAGAGAGAGCTATAGAAAGCCCCGAAGACACCCAACACCACCCGCACAATCACCTACAGATTCAGCCCTACAATCGTTCTCTCAAACACCCAGCCCACCAACATCATGCCATGCAGAAACCCACAAATAACCCAAAGGCACCACACAGAAACTGGTACAGACACCTCTTCCCTAGACATTTCAAAACACAGCCCCTGGGCCTAGGCCAACACCTGACACCCATCCTCCACCTACCTTTGTGTCACAGGTGGAAACATCTCCCAACTTCAGAGCCAACACGTTTCCAAGGCACCCTGTGGTGACTCCTGATGCACATGAGGTCATGCCACGATCACTGCAGAAGCCCCGCACAGTCCCTGACACACGAACACACATATGCATGTGCACACACACACTACCCATTCTGTGCTCTGGGCACAGTCACCCACATTGATTTCCCATGTACACACACATACACACACACACTGTACCTGTTGGCTCACACACAGTCACTCACGCAGACCTCCTATGTGTGCACACATAGACATCCTTGTACACACATTATCATTACACACATCTCCTGTAGACACACAAGCACAAACACAGCTAACGCATGCTAGCAGCCTTCACTCTCCCTGCACTCTCCCCACCTCCATGCAGATGCACTCCCAGACAGAAACCCCCCAGACCGAGCCTGCAGAGACCCCACAGCAGTGGCCCTCTCAAACACAAGTGAATGCAGACAGACACTGACTGGCTGATAAGCTTGGGTGAAGACACAGACACCTGAATATCACACTCCCTTCTGCAGTTTGTCGTTCTGAGCAATCTTCTAGCTCTAATCTGCAAAATCAATAAAAGCCACTTATTGTGAACAATTGGATTATTGCAATACTCTAATCACAGGAAGATGAGCCCAGAAAATGCTCCAGTGAAGTCAGATGGTGCATTTTCCTGTCATTCTGGCTGGCTCAGGGAGAGCGGGGAGGGTTAGGCATCTCCTTGCCGTGATTCCGAACAGAGAGGAGCGTGGCTCACAGGTTGAAGTACAGTTCCCACAGCACTGTCAGGAGATGCTCGGCTTTGGTCCTGCCCTCAGAGATAGCTGTCCCTCTGCTGATGAGCAGAACTGGAGCCTCTTCCCAGCTCTGCAATTGGCTATTCTTTCAATCAAAAAAAAAATTTTTTTTAAGGCAAGAAAAAAAATCCGAAAAAATCCTCCAGATTTTCTTAGAAAATAGTTCCTCCAAAGAGCATATAGGATGGTGGGTGTTAGCAAGAAATCAGAAAGAAACCCAAGGGAAGGGATAAAGGGATTAGAATGCAAGAAATATCCCTGGCCAACTGGTGGCCATCTGGGAGCCTTGAACAGGAAGAACAAAGTTGTCAGGTTTCTAGCAAGTGGGCACAGATTTTTACAAGAGTCGCTGCTCTGTAGAATACAGAAGCTAGACAATTGCCAGCTATTAAAATATTTTCAAAAAATCTAGTGATTTCCCACAGGATCAGACTGCAGCACATTTATTCCTGCCTGCAGTGACCTAGCTTAGAGCACCCTCATTTCAGGGAAAGTTGGAAAATGTCTAGGGTGCAGTAGAAAGATGGATGTCAACATGAAAACACACTGTGGGTACAGACATTTGGTTCTTACCGCATATAGAGGTTTTCTAAAAGTATTAAATAAAACCATAAGGAAGACCAATGACTATAGGAAAAGCAATAAGTTATTGTGATAGGTTATTTCTATTTTGGTAAATATTCAAATTGTGTTTGTGAGTAGCTGTCTAAGGGGAAAGAAACAAATCATAAGATCAATAGACGAAATTGATCCAATATGGCTGATTAGAGAAGGTGGCATATTACAGAGAAGAGTTATGGAAAATACAGGTACTCTGAAACAGGGGCAGCAATCACACCCAGAAATGGAAAGTTAATCTAAAAGATGTCCATGTAGATCAAACCCAGTATCAAAATTGTTGAAAACAGAAGCAGGACTGCCATGGTCTGCATCTCCCCCATCCCTGCATCTTCCAAGGAGCCAGAATTTTCTTAAAACCTATTTTGAAGGTAGTGAAATACAACAGAACAAGACAGAACAAAGCCAGTTGAGACAGTGCAGTGAAATTGGCACAGAACTTCATAGCAGATTATTGGGATAAGAGTAATACGTGCCATACTATATCTCGTTATCTTCATAATAGTTGTTCTTTCAATCAGGTATAGCAAAATCAAATGAAATACAGAATATTATAGAAATTATCAAAACAGAATATTGAATAGAGCAAGACAATTAGAACAAAGCAAAACAGTGATGACAATATTTGCCTTCAAAGAGATGGTAGAAAGAAATCCTTCCTATTTGCTATATTGCATATGGTCAACCTTCCAAGAGATGCTCAGACCTCTGGTTCCCATTTGCTAACAGGGGGATAAGGGTGGGATGGGATGTTTGATTCTCAGCCCAGGTGCCAGTAGGTTCACAACTGTCTACCAGGGAGGCAGGCTGGTTGCTTGGTTTCTCAGTGCCCCAAGTTCCAACATGGCGCGGATCTCGGGAGATGCTGGCTGGTTCTCCCCCTGGGCTGGCTGCTGCTTGCCCGAGCCTCAGCTGCTTACCAGGGAGGCAGACTGATTGCTCAGGAGCCAGCATTTTGAGAGTGGCCCTAACAGCCTGTAGCAAAGAGCCAGTGCTACAGAGGCCAGACACTGGGACAGGCTCTTTGTATACTGACCCCCTCCCCGATCATTCCAAACACTGAGGAACACTGTGTCCCAGGGACAACCTCTTCAACACTCACCATGGGCAAGGGAAGCCCTCCAACTCCAGGTGAAGAAAGGCTGGTCACCACAAATGGCAGGGTGGCACCGAGTTCTAGGAATCACATCCCTAGAAACACAGGGAAGCGAGAGAGATGGAACAGGGTGACCTCTACTCTGTATTTCCACAAAGATCAGAAAAATTTGAGTTAGCAAGAAATCCCCAGCAGTAACCACCAATGCACTTGGGGGAAAAGTCACTAAACCAAACCCAGGGACTGCATCAGATTCTGCTGCATGAAACAGGAGCTCATGAGACAGGCCTGGGTCAGGATCTGAAATGCAAAAGAAAGGGTGGCTTGCCTGGGGAAGAGAACCTCTGGTGGCGTAGGAGACAGAAAATTTCTGAACTGAGAACACAGAGCTTTTCCCAGCGCCAAAGCAAGACAGTCATAGAACACTTGCACCAGGTGAAGGAGAGCTCAGCGTGGGGAAAATTATTTCACATCCTACTGTTGAGGTGGTTGGACCACGAGATAGACACAAAGGACCATAGTTAAGCATGCCCAAAGCACAGCTTTCATCCAGAATGCAATGACAGGAATAAAGCAACAATTTTCAGGAGTAACTCTTAAAGCTCATCAGAGAGGTGGGCTCAAATAAAAAGACACCCTCAGCATTCCCAGGCAGACCAGGAAGCAGACAGAAATACTCGAGACAAATAGGAGGCTGGCGTGGCTGCCCATAAACACAGCGCGAGGAAAGCCAGAGGGAGCCGTGCCGACACCCAGGCTATATGGCATAGCAGCCACGCCGGATCGCTCGTGTGTTCTCTTACTGCAGTGACTGCTCTGGGTTCATGTTGGGTTTGTTTGGAGTTTTTGGGTTGCTGTTGATTCCTTTCTCTTTTCCTCATCTCTTTTCTCCAATTCTTGCTTCCATATCAACATTTTTAAATATTTTTCTACATTTCACATATTTCTTTTCATGTTTTTCCCCTGATGTCTGCTCTCCCCCCCCCTCAGTCTTTCTTCTCTTTAATTAGCATCAATCCTACCTATTCGATGTTTTTGTTCTTGATTTTTATCTATTTCTCTGTCTCCCCTTGTCTCTACTCTACCTTTCCTGTGACACCTGTATGCAGTAGGTGCCCATTCTTGGAAAAAAGAAAAGAGAAATAGACCAGTGCTTTCACGTGAATGGTACCATTCATGTCATCTGGGGTGACCCCTGCCAGAACTGTGCTTATAGGATTCAAACAAAATTAATCACAAATATATCAACAGGTTCTGACAACCTCACAACTTTCCTCAATCCCAGATTACACCTGCTCCTCCTACAACCTGCCCTGAGCCCCACAGATACCTCCTTAAAACTTTTCAACACTAACCCTTTACTTCAACTATAAAAGACCTCTAACCCAGTCTAGCCCTCATCTATTTTTTTTCACCTAGTACTATTTCTCATATCTACTGCTCCTCTGACTGATTAACACCCCTCTTTAGCGCTTTCCTCCTTCCCTTTTTTTCCCTCCACATTACAGATAAACTGATAACAGTAAGTATAGACAGTCAAGGGTACCAATAAACAATAAAAGCATAAAATCAAAGTTTAATACATATATGACTGGATTTGTTGACACTGTTATAACCAGTAGAAATTCTCCCCTCACAAAATAGAGACAGAGTCCAACTCCTTAAAGTCAAATAGTGAAGGAGTGAATAATGCCTCTGAACAAACAAAGCCATAAACACATCACTGGAAAGCAAGTGCCTCATATTAACTACAAATTGTCCTCACTCTACTTGATGTCAACCTCCAGCACCAGAAAGAGAAAGAAACAGAGAGACAGAGAGAGAGAGAGAGAGAGAGAGAGAGAGAGAGAGAGAGAGAGAGAGAATGAAAAACAAGGCAACAGATGTATTCCTAAAGCTTCCCAACTCTCCCAAAGCAAAATCAAGGGACATCAATAGAGAAATTAAACACCAGGTACCAGAGCTGTACCAAATGAAGAGCTAAAAAACTTAAGAAGTTCAAAGATGACAATGACACAAAAGATGGTGGAACTAACATATGGATTGACCAATGTGGATGTGGAAGAAACAAAACATTGGAAGAGGTGACCAAAATTATTCAAATCATAAATGACAAACTTACCAAAGATATAGACTCCATGAAAAGATGCCAGATAGAAATACTGGAGGAAAAATTTGTATAAAATTCATAAACTAACGTGAAGATGTTTCTGAAATTGAGAACAAAAATGTTAAAACATGACAAATTATTCAGAGAAGCCTTAGAAACAATAAGAAAACAAGAAAAATTCAACCAACAGCTACTAAATGATGCTAAGAAAACTAACTCAAGGCTAATTTGACTTAGAGAGAAATTAGAAGACAGCACATATAGAGTAAAAACTCTGTTTACAGAAAACATAATAAAAGATCTTCCAAGTATGAGGAAAGATTTCAGCATACAGGTAAGCAAGGCTTACAGAACACCACCTATGACGAAAAAAGAAGCCCACCATGACCCATCATAGTCAAAATCCCAGTATCCAACAAAAAGGCAGAGTTTTAAAAGCTGCGAGGGAAAACAAAAGATCATGTGTAAAGGTAAATTCATAAGGATTATAGAAGATTTCCTAATATAAACTTTAAAAAACAGGAGAGCTTAGAATGAAGTGTTTCAATGACTAAAAGCAAATAACTTCCAACCCAGACTAATATATCTTGCAAAACTGTCTTGCAAAATTGATGGAGAAATAATGGTATTCCATAACAAAGAACACTTTAAGAGATACATGAACACCAACCCAGCTCTCCAAAAAATGCATAATATTCTAGCAAAGACAATGAAGCCAAATAAGCTTTAAAAGTCAAAAGGAATTAATAAATTGAACAAGGATTCATTAAACAAAAAAGAAAAAAATAAAAGTGTCATCAACACAAGAAAAATGCAGACAGAAATAAATTAATATTTTTTAGTAATAATTCTCAATGCAAATGACAACTTCCCCATTAAAATACATGGATTGGCAAACTGATCAAAAACCACAGTCCACCAATATGTTGCATTTAAGAAACTCATCTAATCCCCAAAGAAATTCATAGACTAAAAACTGAAGGATGGCAAATAATATTCTATGCACCAAGATCCCAAAAGTAAGCCAGGATAGCAAGTTTACTTTCAGACAAAGTAAACTTCAAGTTTGAACTGATCAGAAGAAGCAAAAAAGATTGCCATGTATTAGTTAAGGGAACAATCCAATAGGAAGAGAAAACAATTGTGACCAAATATACAACAAATAATTATTGCAACTAACTTCAT